GCGGACCGCCCCGCTCGGCACAGCACCGCCCGGCTCCGGGGGGAGCGGGGGGAGGCGGAACACAGCCCCTCCGCGGCTCCCAGGGGCTCGGGGCAAAGCCTTCTGATGGAGGAGAGGGGGCTCAGCCCCCCAGGAACTCAGGTGTGATGGGGGACAGTCCCCAAACCTGCCCCGGAGAGCACAGGGGTACCCACAAAGGCGTAGGGGGACCCATAACCACCCTGACTCTCAGGCTAGCACACAATGGAGGAGCTCAATGCCACTCATGAGTGGTTGCCCCCAGGGGTTCTGCATCCACCAACAGCACAGACTCCAGTACCTGCCCCTAAGAGCTGAACACCGTAACTGCCCACCCCCCACAACTGTTTTGGGTTCAGTACCCATAAGACAAGACCCAGACCCCATAAAGCAAGAGTGGGGGGCAGGCAAATTGGGTCAGGAGAAGGTAGAGCAATAGGTCTCCCCCCCCCAGCTAGCTAATGGAGATTCACACAGCCCCACACCAGCCCCCCACAAAATGGGGGGATATTTATTTACACAGTAGCTTGTTCTGGACACAGCTCAGGGCTGGGGGTGCACACAGCGAGCTCTCTCCCTCCCCTCTCTGCATAAAGGGGGGATCAGCACCCAGAGTAACAGCATCTCCCACTCCCCAAAGCAGCCTCTCTTTCCAGTCCTGCATCCTGGCCACAGCAGACCCAAGCCAAGCAGCCAGGACTAGCCCCGATGCTGTTCTGGAGGGTCTTCCTGGAACATGTGTCCATGACAACACCTCACGGAGTGGGGACATCCCCAAGTCAGGGCACCAGCACCACAGGCTCAGTCCATCTTGATGGGCTCCTTCTTACACTGCCTGGTCTCCCGGACAATCTTGACCAGGGAGAGGAGAATGGGAACAGCCATGGGCAGGAAGAGTGGGATGTAGATGGCAAATTTCTGGTCATCAGGGAAGTAGAGGAGATGGAGGAGAGATGGATCAAAGAAGGCTCGCTCTGAGCAGGTGACAGCCTCCTTACTGGCCTGGAAAGCTGCGTGCAGATGGCCCATGGATAGCTTGGCTATGGCACTCTGCACTGAGGACACCGCCCGGTACACCTGTGTGGGAACAACACCAATGGTCAGTCCCTGGCCAGGGAGGACCTCAGGGAGACCCATCCCCCTCCACTCCCCACCTCAGGGTGCCCCAGCCTTACCTCAGAAGCAACATCATCCTTGATGACAATGTTCCCAATCTTGTCCAGGAGCTGGGCCAGCGAGGTCAGGGTGGTGGACACAGTGGCGATGTTCTCCACAGTGTGGGCCCAGAGCAGGTGGTCAAGCTCCCAGTCAGCCATCCCCTCATTCCCTGGACTCTCCAGCAGGAACTCGGGGGGCACCTCTTCCCGAGATAGCCCAAAGAGTAATCTGGGAGTAGAAGGAGAAAGCCTCAGCACATATCACAAACCTGTATTCCCACAAGCTCCCTGCTCTTCCCTGCTGCATTCAGTCCCAACCCTGACTAATGGACTCCTGGATGTGGGGCAGGACAAGCCAAGCCTCCTACCTCAGGAGACTGCAGATGTGCCAGCACCCATGGCCACAGAGCAGTGATGGTCAGTGGTTAGCACCTCAAAGGACATCAAAAGCCACCCTCAGCCTCCCAGAGCCCAGAGAGAGATGAGTGAATTAGCTGCATGGGTCCAGACTGCTCTGACCCCACTGATTTCCACATGTGCCAGGACAGCAGATGCCTGGGGAGGGAAGAGAGCATTCTCACCGGAGCTGGGCCAGGAAAACCTCCATCACTCGTGCCATGTCCACATCCACATGCAGTGGGAGAGAGGTTTGGGTGGAAGCAGGAGTTTCAACATTGTAAACCTGCAGGACAGCATGTCAGTGAGGCACAGCCAGAGCCCTAGAGCTGGCAGGGTCACCAGCTGGGAATGGGGAGTCACCACCTTGTCTGAACATTGCCAGCACCCCCATGGCTCCATACCATGATGCCACCCCAGCGGGGGCTGTGGAAGGCATTGGTGCTCACTGGGGTTCCATCCTTGTCCTGGATATACAGAGGGGAGTGGGAGCGCTCTGGCACATACAGCAGGAAGTTCAGGACGGGGTAGAGTGAGGCAGCACTGGAACCTGCAACAGGACAGAGTCAAAGAACTTCCCAGGCTGGCAGGGACAGAGGGAGCAGCCCACAGCCCAGCTCCTCCTTCACAGCAAAGCCTTGAGCAGAACTGCCACCCCAGTAGGTCTCAGCCACTCTTGCTCTCATCCAGAGCTGACAGGAGGAAAGGGACACAGGCCGCAGGCACAGCTGTCCCCCCTCCTTCAGCAGAGCCTAGTCCCATGAGACAGCTCTCGGTGATCCATGAGCACAGTGCTCACCCAGCCGGGCCTCCACGGGGTTGATGACATGTGGGAGACTGTGAGCACTCAGAAGGAAGCTGGAGGACTCTTTGTCATACCGTGGTGTCACTCCTAGGACAGCATAGTACAGGATCTGCAGGCACACAACAGACCTGTTGCTGGCAGAGAAGCACATCCTGGGACACCCAAGAAGGCCAGGGCTGGGCAGTCCCCACTGCCTCTGCCAGCCCTCACCTGTGAGTCCACAGAGAAGTTGGCCACCAAGCTCAGCTTGTCCAGGACAGGCTTCACATAGCGGTTCACAGCACCCTCAATGTCCCAGTC